GGTTTCTTGTATAAAACAAGAATATGAGCATTCTTTATGATTTGGTGGCCATTTCAGAAGCCAAAAAACATAGGAGAAAAATAGTTGTTTTCCAATTTTTCACTAGATACTTTGCAGTAGCCTTCCAATTATTTAATAGTTGCAATAATATTATTCCCACTAAATTATTGAAATAAGGACTTGTGGTAGCCAGGTATATCCAAATATAATAACTTCAGTTCTATACTAAAAAATGATTCCAATATTGTAATTTGCAAAAAAATGCACCCCAATTTCTGTTGACTAAATTCATTAGAATAGACAATTAACATGTGCAATCCGTAGCAGTTTAAAATGTCCTGAAAAGTATTTGTTAGGCTTACATTGGATTTATGTGTTGTAGAAAATAAGGTAATCTTCTGTTTGTCTTATTTTCCTCTAGTTCTTTTGTCAATATTTCAAAGCTGTGTTTACTCCTTTTCATTTTATGTGTGCATGTTCATTTAGTATAGTTACAGTAAATATGCTCCATTAATAATATATGAAGAAATTTAACATTTTAAAATTAAAAAAGCTTGAAATTTAAATATACAGTGGTGCTTAAAAGTTTGTGAATGCTTTTGAATTTTCAACATTTCTGCATTAATATGAACCTAAATGTTTACTGTTTTCCACACAAGTCCTGAAACTAGATAAAGAGAACCAGTTAACCAAATGAGTCAAACATACTTATTATTTATTTAGTAAGGAAAATGATACCAAATTACATATTCGTGTATGTACAAGTGGGACCCCAGAGAAAGCAAAATGTATTAAACATGTTTCTCAAACTATTACTTTTTCTATTGTACTTATGCAGATTAGACATAAATAGAATTTTCCCTTTTTGTTACAGCAGAGTGTTTGTTTGTGTTTGGTTTATTTTCTTTAATGCTTCTTTTCCATCATAGTACTATTTTAATCTTGTTGAGAATATTTTGCTTTGCATGAGTTAGTATCAAGAAAAGCCACTGATATTTTTTAAGAGTGTTATGGTTACCTTGTGTAGCCTTTCCAAACATCTATTCATCTAGATAGGAAAAATTAGTGTGTGTCAACTCTTTTTTTTTTGATAAGTGAATATTAAAAACAAAAATTCAGAATTCTGGTTCCTAATATGTTGCTTTGCTAAATAGTTTGTAGGCAAGGGTGGGATACAACAGGGTTAACTACCGGTTCGGGATTTACAAGGTTTGGTGATTTATGATGTGCTTCCCTGCACGCTGTGAGCCTCGCACCTGTAAATCATCATCAGCAGGCTGCGTGCAGAGAAGCAGCCTTTGACACAGCCCTTTTTTCCTGCTTTTTTAACTGCAGCTGTGCCTTGTTTGGCAGCTGAAGTTGAAAAATCAGGAAATAAAAATCAGGTAAGAGCCCAGGTGGGCGGGTGGGCAAAAACATCAGCAGACATAGAACCGGTTCTATGTCTGCTGCTCTTCAGAGCTACCGGTTCTACAAAGGTGGACAGAACCGGTAGAAACTCACCCCTGTTTCTAGGATTGTGAGAATAAATTACTCTTTTAGGTTAGCTACTTAAACTATATAAAAGGCTTGCCAACCAATTAAATTACTGGAATTTTATATTTTCTGCTTTTAAAGGATACACATCAACTAAAACTGCTCAAGACTTTGGAAGGCCATGCATATGGTGTCTCCTATATCGCTTGGAGTCCTGACGACAACTACCTGGTTGCTTGTGGCCCAGATGACTGCTCTGAGCTTTGGCTCTGGAATGTACAAGTAAGAATGATAAATGTGGAGTGTTAGCATGCCTTATTAAATAGAATTCTTTATTGGCCAAGTGTGATTGGACACACAAGGAATTTGTCTTTGGTGCATAAGCTCTCAGTGTACATAAAAAAACATTCATCAAGATCATAAGATACAACAAAGTGATAGCCATAGGATACTAAATAAACAATCAAAATCATACTAGGAAACTAAATAAACAATATAATCATAAAGATATAGGCAACAAGATTATAGTCATAAGTAAAAGGAGATAGGTAATAAATAGGAAGGATGAGAATAATAATAATAATACAGTCTTAGTAAATATTTTGCAAGTGTTGTGGGAATTAGTTGTTTAGAAGTGGTGGCATACGGGGAAACACTGTCCTTGTGTCTAGTTGTTCTAGTGTGCAATGCTCTATAATGTCATTTTTAGAGTAAAACATGAAACAATTTATGTCCAGGATGTGAAGGGTCTGTAGATATTTTCACAGCCCTCTTTTTGACCCTTGCAGTATACAGGTCTTTAGTGGAAGGCAGGTTGGTAGCAATTGTTTTTTCTGCAATTCTAATTATCTGTTGAAGTCTGTGTCTCTCTTGTTTGATTGCAGAGCCAAACCAGACAGTTATAGAGGTGCAGATGACAGACTCAATAATTCCTCTGTAGAACTGAATCAGCAGCTCCTTGGGCAATTTAAGCTTTCTGAGAAAGAACATTATTTGTTGTGGTTTTTTTGATGACATTTTTGATGTTAGGTGTCCATTTTAAGTCTTGAGACATGATAGAACCTAGAAACTTAAAGGTCTCTACTGTTGATACTGTTTTGTCTAGTATGGTAAGAGTAAATAGCATAGATATATGACCATACTCAGGTTATTTGATACTTTTGGAGGAAATCATTGGCTGTTCTGGACGTTAGATAGTTCCATATGGAAAATTCCAAATGTTGACATTTGACAAAACTTAGAATGGAGCAACATTTGGAATATTTTTAGTGTTTTGTTTATTGGAAGCCATGGGGTAAGCCATTTATTTTCTTGGCTTTCACATTAAGGCCATGAGAGAAAGTAGTAGCTACTTTCTTCCATCCAACATGCAGAAGAATTGGCCACACACATTCTACTGTTGGGGAGGCGCTTGTTGGAAAACATTACTTTAGAATATATTTTATTCATAGATGTGAGTTAATTGTAGTGTGCTGGACATACTTGATATTTATATTCCAGTTTAAAGTAATAGGTTGAGAATAAATGAAGATAAATTCAGACTGAGTGAGATACTAATGGTGGGAAGATTTGAAATTGATGTCTCCTTTCTTCTAGACAAGAATTGTATTTTCCTAGAACATAAATTGCTAGACTTGCATGTACCAGCAATAGCCAAAACAGTTTTGTAGCATTTTTAAATTGGTCCTCTTGATTAAAGATGAACTTAAAGTAAGAATAGTCTGGGTTATGTACTGTAATAACTTTCAGTTGGTTATTGCAAATTACTAAGATAACTTTGTAAAATGTTCTTTGTAATAGTATTTTGGTTTAGAACTTTATTAAATTGGGAACTGCTCCTATAATTTTGGGAATGAGCTGAAATAAGCCTACCACATTGGTGGTAGATTATATTAGCACTATATTTGTTAATTAGCGTAATTCTGAGTTCTGATATGATAATCAAAGGCTTACAGGCTTACATAGCCTAGTTATTAGAAGCTGGATTATTTTTTACAGTGATCCATGTTATTACTTTAGAATGAGAGTGTGTGAGTGTGTGAATGAATGAATCTCACAGCCTTCCTTGCCCCTTCCCAGGTGTACTGAAATTAAAATTGCCTGAAGACATTAAGGAAGTTTGATTTATGCTAGGTACTAAATAGCTACTTTATCATATAGTTGAAATCACTTTTGGATTTTATCACCAGTTTTGTAAACATTAATTGGACATGGTGTTTGTTTCAACTAGACTGATGCCCATGTATACTACAATTTCAAAGAACCTTAACTATCTAACTTCATCTGCAGACGGGGGAGCTAAGGACAAAGATGAGTCAATCCCATGAGGATAGCTTAACCAGTGTGGCCTGGAATCCAGATGGAAAACGTTTTGTAACAGGAGGGCAGCGTGGGCAATTTTACCAGTGTGTAAGTTGGAGTGGACAACCTTTTTGCGGCCATTGGCTAAATTGTTATTCATATTTAATTGTTTACAAAGAACCACATGGGGTGTGCTTGTTGAAGCCACTGGAGTGGGTGGAAATAGAATTTTCATTCTGTTTGGGGGGGCTTTCCATGAATGCTGTGGGCGGGGGTTCCCACTGGAAAACAGATTTGTTAAAGCTAGAAAAGGCTCAACACCTATTTTGTATAAACAAAAAGGGTACATTTGGGGAGTTCAGGTTATCTATCTACACAGATTGCCCATTCCTGCTATAAAGAAGTGAGTCTTTTACTATACCAAAATGCATCCATCCCTGATATAGGGGCCCTTGTGCTAATATGTTTGTGTTGTGCCTATATATATATATACATACATACATACATACATACATACATA